CTAATCGTATAAACGAATTTAGACGTAGGGCTATGGCCAACAGATTTCCACCACAAGGTTTACCCAATGGCATAAACGCACTTCCTCTACAAGGAAGAGCCCCTGGAAGTCCTGCTGCCCGGCAGAGACCTAATAATGCAGTTAACCAGCAAGATTTACAAAGACTTCAAACCGACTTTGCTGCCTTCCAAGCAGGGCCTCGAAACACCCCACCACAGACTGGAATTCAACTTCCCAATACCCCGAACCTCCAAACAGCTCAAAACAATCCACTTGGGACAATACAAGCAGCTATGAGGCAGTTTCAGAGACAGGCAACTTTTAGAGCAGGAAGGCCATCGCCGGGAAGGCAAATATCAAACGTCATCTAAAATACTCAACTGACGTCATGAATGATTGCGTCATTCATTTTGTCATTTTTTGACACTACAACTTGGTTTATGTTATTTATATGTTATTTTTTTTAAATTAAAGTATTTAACAATATTTTTATTTTCTTTCTCTTTCTTGGAGGTACATGTATACACAATAGGAGACAATGTCAGATGTTCTATCCTTAGTCCATATGTTAACTTTGACAAAATATTTGGTACTTAAACTCATCATGATATAGAAAATTTACTGAAACAAGCGGGCAAGGTCTGACTGCATCTCTCACCGGATCGTGATAACAATTAAAACAAAAAAAAAAATCTTATACGAGACTTTGAAAAACTAAACTTGAATATATGTAACATATTGTGTGCATCATAAACCTTAAAATGTTTGTCCCTCACATAAAACAAGAACCAGTTTCACGAAAATAAGTACACTTCCAAGAAAACCCTGATATCAACATTCAACATAATCTAACTAATATTTGTGGAGATAAATAAAATCAACAACTACATGTACAATTTAGTTTTCAAATTATGCTTCACTGGTGTGCAGAAAGGTTTTCAAATAATGTGAATTATTCGGAAAATAATGTCTTTGTCGAGAAAGTAATATTATTTTTATATCATACACGTCATAGTTTATGTAAGAAAATAAATATCAAGTTTATAAACTTCAATGGGTATTGATTGGAACAGTCACGTGATTAAATCCTGTGAAAGCCGAAGCCCTTCTCAGAAGATTTGATCACGTACCGACCAATCTGATTAAAATCAGATCCTTTGATCCACTCACATAGATCGCTACACAAGGATCTGAAGAAACCCCATCCAGGTTCTTCTCCTGGTGACATTCTAATACAAATATTCATTAAAATTTTGACCAATCAGAATTGGTAATTAAACGACTTTCGGGAAAATGAATGTAGAAGTGAAAATGAGAAGATATAATCGTTTCGTACCAAACAAAGAGCTAAATAAACCAAGACAAAACAAGTACATATTATATTTCTGTACAGAAAAGGCAGTAGTCCTTCTCTTGGCCGGCTACGGAAATAGGTCACGGTTTTCCGTTCGTGTGTCATTGCGGTTTTTACTTCTGTAACTGAATTCCGAGATACTTCTAAATTCTTGGAAGTGAACGTTTGATTGGATAATTGAAAGGTCACAAGGAGACCCTGAATTGGGGTTTCTTCAGATCCTTGTGTAGCGATCTAAATGAGCGGATCAAAGTACTGTTAACCAACTTTTATTCGCGACGACTTTTAATCGCGTGCGAGAAATTTTCGCGAGGTTCGCCTCATCATCGCGAATATTTCTCGACGCGAACCGGTCCTTAAGGTATACCTTTACTCAGATGACTAAAAATTACACCGATAAGAACGAAAAACCACCTATTACACATTGTATATATATGATTCTTGTGTTAAATTTCAATTTCAAATAACAAGGCCAATGACCTACTTTTCATGCTAGTGGCCCCTGAGTATTTCTCTGGAAATATCCCAATTTTTCACACTATGACCAATGTTTTCTCCACTCACAAAATATTATAAGCAACAGAACTCTTTTAGTAATGAAATATTAAAGTTATAGAACAGCGTTGCTTTATATAAAGAAACGATGAGTTTAGGCCATAAACTTGAAAATTATTTTAGTCCGAATTTCCTCTGTCATATTTATATTTTTTCCCCATTTTTAATTAAGTATTACAATAATCTGACTGAAAAGAACTCTAGATTATTTATAACCTTAGGTTACTCCTGTCGCCCTTATTTTGATGGTATAAAATCTATATGGGGTCAATGATCAAATTATTGAGATATGTTGCCTGGAATTGTTTTTATTCATATTTTTGAATTTCATTTCATGGCATTCAATTATTTGAAATAATTTATGAACTTTAACACATGTAATATTTGCAAAATGATGTCTAAAAATACATTAAATCTTTACATTGTAATTAATATTGCAAGAAATAAAATAATTGACAAACTTTAAGATGAAATATTGAAAATTTAGCCCGAATTTCCTCTCCATTACGTAGATCTACATTGACTTTTGTTCATGTATATTTTCTTAAATAATGATAAAATATGAATTTTTCATTTGATATTAAGTTAAAACTTGGTTATTTTAGAACATAAAAAAAATTTTTTGATGTAACATACATGTATTATACTTTTAAAAATTTAAATTCCTATCTGTTTTCTGAAACCTGAGTAAACAACATCCTTAAATTCTCTGTTTACAATACTAGAGCACTGCTTAAGGAATTACACACTGCGTCTTCACTTAGCACAGAACGCTTAAACCCTCGTATATTAAAACCACTGTCACTATTATCTTGAATAAAAAAAATATATGAAAATCTTTCATTGAATTTAATCAATCTATCACGCAATGTTATAGGTTATTTTTGTTAGTAATATATACAAATGGTATTCTATTAGTACGCCATAAATACAAGGGAAACTCACAATTTTAATATGTACAAAAACCTTGGTGAATACGAAAACCGGGCACATACTATAAGGAATATGGGGGTATCCTCCATTTTCCAACATAAACCTCTACGGTTTAAAATGTTTATCCGCACCCCATCTCGCCGAACCTTTTGTTGAACAGTGTAGTATGGGTAATTCATGGCAATTATTAAAGTATTAATAATTATTTGCTTGGTTATGAATGAAAGTGTAGTAGGATTTTCACATTTAAACAAATTTTATTTCTGTTTGATGGTCAAGGAAAATTTTTCAGAACTACAGTTGTCAAATTTTTGTTCTGTTTCTTCTATCAAACTTTCCAAAACGATACTACACGGCTGTATAAAAAAGTGAACTCATTTCTTTGTGTATTTCATCAGTGATATTCCTGGAATTTCTTTTGTTGTATTTTTTACATTTGGAATCGTCCATCTTGTCTTCGAATCTTTTTTAAGGCTGAAATTATATATTATACTAATATTAAAAAATGTTTTAGTCCAAGCCTACACAACATACTGTAATATAATAACGGTACTATTGCTATAAAATATCTAATCCATATTAACTCCGAGAAACAAAAACATTAAATGATACAAATTTACTATAGGCTTGTGTAACAGCTAGAATGTTTAATTCTTGAGAATGCCAATAATCGGTACACACAAGTAACATCTTGAATAAACCAAAAACACCCATCCCATTTTGTATCAAATAAGACAAATTCCAATGATATTACTTACGTTCGAGTTCTATAAACAACACAAGCAATGGCGATCACAATTGCAAATGCAATACCAGAGGCGCATAAGATAGCAATGATATCAGTTTCTGAAAGTGAAGCTGATGACACTTCTATTGGAGCCATCGTTGATGTTTGTGGTGTTGCTGATGTTAAAGCAGAAGTTGATGCTCGGGGTGTAGTTGATACATGAGCTGAGGTTGACGCTGAGGATGTTTTCTTTTCTGAAGTTGAATAAGTTGTGACCCATGTGGGTTCCGTTGCTTCAGTTGATGTTGTTGGTATTTTCGTGGTTGATTCCAATATTGTCGTATTTTCAATGATCGGTTCCACTGACTCTGTTGGAGAGTCTGTACTCACTTCAGAAGTTGGTATACAATCTGGAAGAAAAGGAATTATTAGTAAGAGATTTATCTGGAGTGGTTGTATAATACATTTGTGAACAGGTAAATACTGTATATCAGTTAATTTTGGGAAAAACATCCACATCCAAAAATATAAAAAGAGTGCATTTGTTCAGGAAATGGAGAGCAAAAATGAGAAAGATTTTCCAATCTTCCTTCAAAGGCAGTGGACAATAAAGCTGATAGCGGAAATAGACGCTGAAAGAATTGACAATGGAATTTTGAATAAATCACGATATAGAAAACGCCTCCTAACGGTAGAAATCCAACAAAAAATTAATGTTAATTATGCATGAAGATTTCCATCCATTTCAGTAACATTATATCTTGGATATATTCAGGCCCCAGGATCATGAAACATCTGAAGATTCAGGAGGTTTCCTCCTCAGATTTTGAGCAGATTTTTGTGTACACCTCTATTTCAAAAATTCTAAATATTTTTTTTTTATTTCTTACAGTGAATTTGGATTCTATAATACTAATTAAACTATATTCAAATAAATCGCAAGCTGTAATTTCATACCGAAAACATTTAGTGAGGAACTATATTTTGTGGCGGAAGGTTTATTTTGGAAGAAAACAAACCCTTTTTTCTCTTTCTGTTGTATTCAGTATTGTAAAGGACATACGCAAGGTACCTTACATACTGATAATTTTTCAAGATATTCTAAATCTAAACTTATAATACTATTACATGTTCTTAGACAAAAAATCAGGATGTGATGACCAGGGGTACCGGTCTTGTGAAAAAATATCAAATTATGAAAATTTTTGCATTATTCAAAGAAAAATGTGCAAAAATTAAAAAAACAAATTCCAGATTTATTTTCATCAAAAATTGTTTTAGAAGAGGGGTACAAATCCATATATAGACATTAAAAGTATTGCAGAAAGGTCCTTCATTCAGTGGAACTCTTCAACTCAACTCAATAAAGTTCAAATTACGTTGCGTATGACCTTAAGTTTGGATTCCTATTTTTACATGCAACCTGCACACAGCTGATTTAATTTTGTGCAGTGAAATGTTCTATGTTCGTCCTAAATTATATACTTGTAGGAAATAAACTGTCATGAATTCTATCATTATATCTGGCAAATATATCGTGAAAGTCCACGGTAAAAACAGCCCAATTTAAGCTTAAAATTGACACCATTTTAATAATATGTAAAAATTAACATCACAGACCCTCACTTTTTTTCATATTCTGAATATATAAGATGATTTTAACAATTCAGATTTAATTCAGAAAAATGTTTTTACTGTCAAATGATTTTACTGTTTCTTAAATTTCTACCTCCAGCTAAAATATTTTTTGAGTGCAGAAAGGTCAAATAATTGAATATGTGAAGTAATGTGAAACAATTTTTGCTGTAACAAATATTAATGTGTCTATTCAAGATGAAGAAAGACTGTTTGTTCCAATAATTCAATTGGATAAAAAATACTAAAGGAAAACTTTTTTAAAAAATTAGTTATGTAATAGACGTAAATACAGTGCAAAAAGGTAATATTTATTGCCAAAGACCCCATTTTTGTTCTTTTATTTTTTTTGTTTGTTTTCTTGTTTTGATATTTTGTTAAGCTATGTGTGTAGATTCTAAAACTATACTTGAAAAAAGTTCTCAATACTTTTGATAACAGGAGCCAACCTTCTTAAGTCAAAATCTTTTAATTATACTTACATGTTGTGGAGCAAAATCAGATCAAAATTAAAATATGTTTCAATAAAGATTAACAAAAGCTAGAGTTGTTATTTGCCAATTATGAGATTCGTTCAATAATTAATAAACATTTTACATGCTATTGAATATTTGACTTAAGTCTAGGTGTGTTTCATAATCATGAGACCTGTTGTTTTACATATAAAACATGCCTTTGTTGAGTGACCAGTCACTCTGGTCTTGATCTGGATCACATATCTCACAACTGTTGAGCTGTCGTGGCTCCCACCTGAAGTAACATCTGTTTCTTATGAAGCAGAACTCTACAAAATATGTTGTTAAAAGTACACAACTTTCTTATTAAAGAGAAAACATTGTAAAATATAGGCTAGTTTGTCATCAGTTTAAATGGTGTATATTTGTTTTTTTTTATCATTACAGGGAAACTTATATGCTTGTTTTTGTAGCATGAAATAATTGTTCTTATTCGGATAATTAATATATATAGATTACGGAAGATTTCTTAAACAAAGTTTTAGGCAAATTAAAAAACAAAACATTTAAGCTTTATATTTGCAGTATCAATTGTAAATAAATACCTATTTACCATTATCAAGAGACCAAGTTGAGTTGCTGGAGGAAGGATTGCAAAATCTACAGAAGTTTGTACCCTGCACCTCTCCGCGAGCAAAACATACTCCGTCAATTTGACAAAGCCCTGGGAATAATCATACAATTCACCTCTAAAATTATTTTAAATCAATCGATAAATCGAATTAAAAATTTTGTGAAATAATGTGTAAACTTTCTCACTTTGTTCTGAACTACAGACTTCATAGCGAGTGTACATAATATATAATTAATTATTATGTTTGTTTTTGTTTTTCATAATAACTTTCAAATACATGTAATTTATACTTACTATACTGGAAGATACATGACAAAATGTGAAAAACGTTTATTTAATTTTTGATACTCATCTTGTTGAAATTATAGAACTCTTTAATTTGTCCTAAAATATTTTTTTTTACCTTCATTAAGTGTCCATCTATATCTATTATTAGCAACACTGCAGATGTCACACAAATTCTTTGGATTAGTTTCTCCATCAATAACACAACTTCCATCGATAAAACAGAAGCCATCCTATAAAAAATATCACAAATATTACATATTCATAAAAACGCCTTTGGAAATAATTGACATAATCGACTATATATTATTGCTATAATTTTGAACATTTCTCATGCTGGTGAATAATACGTCTGCACCTCTCTGAAACAACAACTTTGTCTGTCAAAAACAGTCTTGTGTTTACCTTAAATGTATAATATATATCCCCGCTATTGTTTTGGTACTCCTGGCAGAGGGATTGAAATGTGTACACATTAAACGTTTTTGTAAAACTTTTATCATCATTAGAAATGTTGAATTGAAAAAACGTCACCCATGGCCTAAGACTACTGTACTGCAAGGGGCAGAATCCCTCAAATAAGGTTCTTTCCTGTAAACCAATCTGATACGATTCTGTTGCTAATGACGCTCCATCTACATTGTACTTTAAAAAATACACACAGTGTATAAATTATAAAATCTCAAGATATTATGAATCATTATAATTATGATATCATAACATTTTTTTTTAAAACATACATACCACTACACCATTCTATAAAATACATGTATTACATCAATTTCGACATTATTGTTTATTCTATGTACGGATCTAGAATACTGTTAACTAATGTTTATTTTATGTATTTTTGTATGAGCTTGAAATTACTCTGACCAACTATCAATTTTTGAGATGGAGAAACAATATCCATTAAGACATAATCAAATTAATAGTTCAAGAAAATAAGGTTGTAAGAGCAGCGTAAATTTCTTTCACGCGAATAAAAGTTGTCTTTTATGCATGTATCGATGGCAATTATGTTTAAAAGTGCATACGCAATGTTTTTGAAATACGAAATATGAACGAAGGTGAAAAAGTAATAAGAAAATAAATCCTCTCTGTTGAGTGTGTTTCATCTCATTTTTGTTTCGTTTCTATATTGCTTTCTTTTCAAATATGCCATTTCGCGAACAAAAACCCATTAATGGTCTTGTCTAAGATTACCTTTGTACAATAAAAGTGAATAAAAATTATTACCATCAACCGCGTCATGTAGCAGAACGTGTTCATGTTTTCTAAAAAGTATTTTCCATATACTGTAATCTCGTCACAGTTTTCTTTTGATTTGTCGCAGAACCCGAAATCCGAAATGTGAGTGATTGTAGGTGGAGCAGATAAATCAAAGGAACAATCACTACCTGCATAACCTGTGTAGCAGGTACAGTTACCTGGAAATATTAAAGATAATTATGAGTATATAATTAAACTTTTATAGTTTGACAGATTTCATTAATTTAGATTTGAATAATGTTTTAAATATAAGGTTTTTCAAAGATTACATGACTTAACTTTCTATGTATTCTTCAGATTCTAGTGTTTGACAGAATGGTAAAACAAAACCCGGAAAGCAAATAAAAAAGAAGGTAGGTCAGTAAATCAACATGAATGGGAATAAACCTTCACTCCTGAATACCTAATTTAGTCAATAAGTGTTATCAAATTTCATTTAAAAAGATCATTGAGAAGTGAAGTTTTTATCTAGGAAGCAAGATTTGCAGTAAATTATGAAAAAAATTGAACTTTGAACCAATACAGATCCAGCAAAGATTCCCTATCTATTGAAGAATGATACATTATCAACAGATATTGCTTATATAGAAAATTGGTTTTCTCAGAATCAAATGGGTCTAAACCCTACAAAATATCTTTTAGTCGGTACGTATTTGAGGATTTGATATTTTTCTGAGAATGAATTTGAACTATCCGTATGAAAAAAAACTAGCCATTTTTACAAATGAAAAATTCACGATGTTTCTTTAAATAATTCATTAGTGATTTATTTGTAAAAACTTGGTAAATATATCTTGGTAAGAAGCAATTTTATGATATATATATATATATATTAGAATCGGTTTTGATTGAAATGCTAGCGATAATCATTTTAAGGTTATCAACACCCTCGCCAATAATCTCAAAATTAAATCTTTGCCAAAAGTTCTGGACATGCAGCATTATAGATGCTCCCCCTGATTCATCTTACAGTTTGTCCTATATTTCTAGGTTATTTCCTTGTATAAACTTGTAATACCTGAATTGCAAATACCGTTTCCACTACAGTTCCACGGACAAAGTGTCTGAATTTCATAGGTCACCTCGGGGTTCTCTTCCTGAAACGTGGAATTGACTAAAATGAACGCTGAACAAGTCTGCAGTATCTCCTCTAGGTGTATTTTCGCCAACTCAGTTATACCAGTAATCTAGAAGTAAATAAAACAAGAGGTTCATGGACCTTGTAGGTCACCTGTGTATCATTTAACAACTTTCCAATTAAATTTGATTCGTGTTTTAAACCAGAGGCCATGAAATTCAAAATTTTATAAGAGGCACCATTTCTAATCCTTACCATAAACTAAGCATGCTCAATTTTGATTTCCAAATTTTAGAAGAGGCAACCTTCATCATTATAGTTATGTACATATTTCATCGGCTTTATACCCAGAAGCAGAGGAAAAGATTTTCACTATATTATCAAGGGAGCCCCTTCATAACACAAAAACCTCTGACTCTGGGGCCATGAAATTCAGTTTTGGAAAAGGCAACCCTTCTTATCATAATATGCATTTAATTTGTTTGAATAGTACCGAGGAACAGAGGAAATGATTTTCAAAGAAATAATGCATTTTCACTATATAATCAATAGAGCCCGGCACTTACACCAAAACCCTTGATCCTAGGCCATGAAGTTAAAACTTTCAGTAGAGTTCTCAGTATTTATTACAATTATGACAACGCTTTGACTTCCTGATGCCTAGGAGTAAAGAATATTTTTAAGATTAAATTGTATTAATTAAGTACTGTTCCGTGTAAGAGTCAGGCAGGGTCGCATGTAGGGGTTACACACTTAAATTTTGAATCTGTTTATTTCTTCTCAATTTTCATTCAAATTAAACATATTTAAATATTTGAATAAGAAAAAGTTCATTTCTTTTGTATATTTGTGATATTTACACTCAAGTTATATTGATGGATTTGGTTAAATTCCTATATAATATCATTAAAATTCATCCTTTTTGTATCAATAAAACACAGAAAAACATTATTGCATATAGTTTTCCATGATAAAAATATTTTCACCTTAGTATATGCTTTTATATAAAATTCTTGATTTTATGTGTTTTCTTCATGCTATCAAGTATACAGCTTCCAAAGTTAAGCCCTTCCTCACATTTAACTGTAAGAGTTATCTCCCATTTCCCATAATGCAACAGGGCATCAGTAATGGATGCCTCCATTGAAAAATGTTCTATCAGTGTTTATACTTCAAATTGCTGTTCTTTTTCACCTTTCCATCCATCAGAAAAAAATTTGATTAGATTAAAAGACTGTAAGAGAGGTATTGTATCGCATCTGTTGAAAAATGGGATTCGATCTGGCATGAAAGGAGAGGCTGATGTGTTCAGTGAAGCAGACCTAATATGTAAGCGTGTGGGACTTTTCACTGTTGAGGAAACATTTACGGTATGTCCCTATCACAGAGACTTTCTTGGTGTACATTGGCGCGCCCAGACCACTTGTCAGTATCCTAACCACCAGGGAAATGCCAAGCCGTATCGGAGTTTCAACTCTCTTATGTAGATATGGCAAGAAATTGGTACTGCGTTTTTAGGTGATACTTTTGTACCCTAGGGTACACCCTTATTAAATGTATGGAGAACAGGTTACAAAAAGGGTACACTATTTATTCCTACTGAAAACGAAAGTAGATGCTTCCCAGTGGAAGGAAGACTGTAACATCTATATAAGTAAAATTAAAAATAATGTAGCCGATGCTCAGGGTACAGTGGGTACAAAGGGTACACATGGGTACAGCAGGTTACAACACTATAAGAAATGGATACAAGGGTTAAGAAGGCTGAAATTTTCTATGTTAAAATTAAAAATAATGTAGCCGATGCTCAGGGTACAGTGAGTACAAAGGGTACACATGGGTACAGCAGGTTACAACACTGTAAGAAATGGATACCAGGGTTTAGAAGGCAGAAATTTTCTAAGTTAAAATTAAAAATAATAAGGCGGATACTCAGGTACAGTGGGTACAAAGGGTACACATGGGTACAGCAGGTTACAACACTATAATAGATACAAGGATTTAGAAGGCAGAAATTTTCTATGTTAAAATTTAAAAAAATGAAGCGGATGCTCAGGGTACAGTGGGTACAAAGGGTACACATGGGTACAGCAGGTTACAACACTGTAAGAAATGGATACAAGGGTTTAGAAGGCAGAAATTTTCTAAGTTAAAATTAAAAATAATAAGGCGGATACTCAGGTACAGTGGGTACAAAGGGTACACATGGGTACAGCAGGTTACAACACTATAAGAAATGGATACAAGGGTTTAGAAGGCTGAAATTTTCTAAGTTAAAATTAAAAATAATGGAGCCGATGCTCAGAGTACAGTGGGTACAAAGGGTACACATGGGTACAGCAGGTTACAACACTATAAGAAATAGATACAAGGATTTAGAAGGCTAAAATTTTCTAAGTTAAAATTAAAAATAATGAAGCGGATGCTCAGGGTACAGTGGGTACAAAGGGTACACATGGGTACAGCAGGTTACAACACTGTAAGAAATGGATACAAGGGTTTAGAAGGCTGAAATTTTCTAAGATAAAATTAAAAATAATAAGGCGGATACTCAGGTACAGTGGGTACAAAGGGTACACATGGGTACAGCAGGTTACAACACTGTAAGAAATGGATACAAGGGTTTAGAAGGCTGAAATTTTCTAATTTAAAATTAAAAATAATGGAGCCGATGCTCAGGTACAGTGGGTACAAAGGGTACACATGGGTACAGCAGGTTACAACACTGTAAGAAATGGATACAAGGGTTTAGAAGGCTGAAATTTTCTAAGTTAAAATTAAAAATAATGGAGCTGATGCTCAGGGTACAGTGGGTACAAAGGGTACACATGGGTACAGCAGGTTACAACACTATAATAGATACAAGGATTTAGAAGGCTAAAATTTTCTAAGTTAAAATTAAAAATAATGAAGCGGATGCTCAGGGTACAGTGGGTACAAAGGGTACACATGGGTACAGTAGGTTACAACACTGTAAGAAATGGATACAAGGGTTTAGAAGGCTGAAATTTTCTAAGATAAAATTAAAAATAATAAGGCGGATACTCAGGTACAGTGGGTACAAAGGGTACACATGGGTACAGCAGGTTACAACACTGTAAGAAATGGATACAAGGGTTTAGAAGGCTGAAATTTTCTAATTTAAAATTAAAAATAATGGAGCCGATGCTCAGGTACAGTGGGTACAAAGGGTACACATGGGTACAGCAGGTTACAACACTGTAAGAAATGGATACAAGGGTTTAGAAGGCTGAAATTTTCTAAGTTAAAATTTAAAATAATGGAGCTGATGCTCAGGGTACAGTGGGTACAAAGGGTACACATGGGTACAGCAGGTTACAACACTATAAGAAATAGATACAAGGATTTAGAAGGCTAAAATTTTCTAAGTTAAAATTAAAAATAATGAAGCGGATGCTCAGGGTACAGTGGGTACAAAGGGTACACATGGGTACAGCAGGTTACAACACTATAATAGATACAAGGATTTAGAAGGCTGAAATTTTCTAAGTTAAAATTTAAAATAATGTAGCCGATGCTCAGGGTACAGTGGGTACAAAGGATACACATGGGTACAGCAGGTTACAACACTATAAGAAATGGATACAAGGGCTTAGAAGGCTGAAATTTTCTAAATTAAAATTAAAAATAATGGAGCTGATGCTCAGGGTACAGTGGGTACAAAGGGTACACATGGGTACAGCAGGTTACAACTCTATAAGAAACAGATACAAGGGTTTAGAAGGCTGAAATTTTCCTGCATTGAGCAAGGTTTAAATTTAGTCAAACATCTGTTTTTGTCTTAGTGCACGAGCAAAATCCTTTGGTGCACGAGGTTTGAAGTTAGGGAGGAATGACAAAAAATAACTTAAACAAGTTATTATTTTAATAATTTTATTGAAGCTTTTTTGGAAAAATAACGTGTTTGAGTTACTAAGGCTGGGAAGAAGTAGGTCATAGCAAAGAGAAGTAATTCATTGAGACTCATTTGAGTTATTTTTGAAAATAAATTGTTCAAGTTATGCCCCTGACTGATAATGTGACTGATACTTTAAGGTCTACTAGGCCGATGTGGACCCATATCTTGGGGCATCGCTCACACTACAGATTACCTCCAATTACCACTACGTCTATGGCCACCGGCAGGGAAATGTGAATATGATTTTGGAAACCTGTGTCAAAAAAGCCGTGCCGTATATACCATATACGGCGTCACAGGATCTGTGAATTTGTTTAGATCTAGGTCATGGCCTTTAGAAAATCCCCAGATGTAACTGTGGATGACAAAATGGTGACTGAAACCAAACTAACCTCCCATTGCTTTACATTAATGCTTAGTTTTAGAATTTTGAAAGTTAAAAATCTTACATGAATATGTCCATTTACTTTCTGTTAAAGATTTACTTTATCAGTTACAATCCATGCTTAGTTTTAAATTAAGATTTTAATGATAATGTGCAATATTCAATTGTAATTTAATCTAGTAGCTAAGTTTGCACAATCTGAGAAAGAATTTAGTTAAAATAAAACTTTCACTAAAACAGTGATGTCACAAAATATAAACTATAAAGGATTAGTGAAAGTCATTCAAATTAACCTAAACTCTTTCATCATGTTCATTGTCAACATTGCAATACAGGAAGATCATGAAAATTGAAAAATTGACTTATTTATTCTAGATTACACTTACTGCATTTAGTTCAAAAGTGATGAAATTATCCCAGACTGACATATATACAATTCCATGCAACTTAAACATCTATTAGTTTAATATTCTTTAACTAGAGTAAAAAAGACATATTCTCTGCTCATGACCATGAATCCCTCCAATTTCATATTCAAATAAAGGAAGTTATGATTGAGCATGCTCAGTAAAAAGCCGTGAGATATATAAATAAATAGTTTTAAGCAAAACCCGCCAGAGTTAAAAACCCTCTACCTGGGACACGGATTCTGTGCCTCCACATGGGTTTCTGTGAGTAAGGATTCCTCACTTTCAGACACAGAAGCTGTGTCCGTGTCTTGGACATGCAGAACCCGTGCGTCTTTTTAAAATCCCGTGCGGATTCCGTGTCTTAGCCAAGCCCAAGCCGTGCCTATTCCGCCTCGAACTTTTGTACAGGAAGTTTTGAAGAGGCTGGGTTGTTTTGCCATTTTAGCTCAGCTGAGCTGAAAGCCATTAAAAAATCATATTCTCAAGAACCAATGGGTCAGAAAAGCTGAAACTTATGTGGAAGCATCCTGGGGTAGTGTAGATTCTAAATTGTTCAAATCTAGACCCCTTAGGGTGGGGCCATAGCGAGTTGTATAA